TCCATCTAAGTGTCTCTTCCTGGAGAATGCTATGTCGAATGACAATGGAACAGGCTCCAGCCTGTGAGCCATCTAGCATTGCCTGCCTTGAAGGGGTGGAGCCTACCATAGCCCCTGGGCATTTGGTATCCTTAGAGACTTCATCCTTCTCATTCCTAATGTACCTCTCTGCTCCTTGCTTTGTTCCTTTTTTAAAAAATAAAAACTTATTTTTTATAAAATGCATGCAGTAATACAATGCATGAGCATAAAATGGTATTCGTATATACTGTGGTAAGCTGATGAATAAAATTCAAAGGAAGCAATTTGTTCTGTTAGTACTTCTAGAATATGTGGCTTGAACTAGTAACATCACTATAAAGAAATCTAAAATATATCTGCTGTTTTCTGGTATCTATATCTACCAAAGATGAGGAATCCCTTTATCTTGGAATTACACGAGATAATGTTCATTAGTGGGGGGGTGGGTTGAGCGTAATCTAAAGCCTTGATTAAATCGGGTAACAAACACACTACGGAAAGTGGGCCTTAGAAACAGTTCAAAATGGAAAAGAAGCTGCATGTGCACGGAATGCAGTATAGTACATCACTTCTCTGAAGCAACATGTTGTAAAATTTTACTGCTTTCTTGTTGTGTTTTATATCTTGTTCTCTCCAGGCTTCGTGGACTCGACCAGAGAAACAAGAGGTATAGCTTACCTGACCACTAGCCAGTCTTTAGTTTTGAAAGCATTGCAGCGTTAACTCATCATTACAGTGAATAACCAGACATGCTAAACTAATTAGTACGTTGGTTAGATTACGGAATAGGACCATAGTGCTAGATCTTACTTAGTAATAGTTTTAGTTGTTTTTAGAACGAGCAAGCAAGCTGTGTTGGGAGTGGATGAACAAAATCCTTATTATATCCTAAAATGGGATCTTATTCTCTCACTGGTGCTGGTAAAAAATCACATTCAGGTAATTATATTGATAGATATAAATTGTCCAATTCCCAGGCCAGGCATTTTGAAATGATGGTTTTTTTACCCCTTTACTCTCACACAATAGATGTGGCTTTGGACCATAAAGTCACAAAGTGAGTGATTGAAAACCCACTCAGCCCTTCCTTGGCAACTCAACTCATCTTGTCGCTCACTTTATTTTATAATAATCGGTCTTGGTCAAATGATCGTATCACATTTCATCTCAAAAGCAACACAAGTGACATCTCTTGTTGGTTTACCCAAATTGTTAAACATATCTGTTATTTTTATAGAGCAATCAATTGATGAGGTTGGGAATGATTGGTACAAATGGCTTTATGTTATATAAAGTCAGTAGCCTTTAGCCTTTGAGATTTCTATGCCTGCTTGCTTCTGACTAGGTAATGGGGGACTTGGTTTGCATCTGAAACTCAGTATTAACCTTAAATTTTCATTGCTTACATTCCAAGACCCCATGTCCAATCATGCCCACCATCTTTTCCTTGGTTAGTATAAAAGTAGAAAGGTGGTCTACTTTAAAGGAAGTTCAAGGATCTCATCTACAAAGACTTTTATTTTTAATTGAAGTTGCTTTTGTCTGTTTCTCCAAATGAGGCCTCCACACTGTAAAACTATAAACACAGAAGGTCCTATAGAGTCTGTATTTTAATTTAGGGAAAAAAGTGATCCTTAGTTCTACAATACAGAATGCATGTGTTCAGGTCAAGGCTTTAAATATTTAATGCTTCTTAATATTTAAAAGTTGAGTGCCTGCCCAGGCGTGGACATTAGTATCTGCAGGGGCAAATGAACAAACCTCCCTTGATGCTACAAGGACTATAGTTCAGGACATGTCCTTACTGAAATGCTCCCCTCCCCTGACACAGAAATCATTCAGTGCTGTCACAGGCTGGATGTTTTATTGCCCAAAAGTGTTGGCCCTGTTGGGCTTGGGGAAAGGAGAGGAGAAGGGTGAATGATCAATGGGTCTTACGCAGCTCAAGAACAGATGATTTCATTTGCTTTACCTTATACTTCTTCTCCCCGTCATTCCGATCTAGACTTATAAAAGCAAAAAGCTGAAATTTTATCAGGGAGCATTAAGACGATGTTAAGAGAATTGTGAGTACAAGTGGAAGTAGCCAGTTTACTCCCAAGAAAGCACACAACACCCTCTCTCCCACCCTACCCCACACACACTCCATTTTCCAGAAGTAACTTTACCTTGGATGTTTCACTTTGGACATAATTGAGGATCAGAAGTTCCATTTTCTTCTATTTGTCTTGTTCAGAGATGAAGACTATAAGCCATATGACAGTCAAAGAAAGCTGGGGTTATGGACAGTTTTGTTCTATAAATGCTGAAAAGCCTTAACACTTTCACCTGGAAGAAGTAAGACAAAAATGATGGACGAGAAGAGAAGAATAACCATCACTGTGCTTGATATATTTCCTTTTCCTAAAAAAAAAAAATCTTTTGGCCATAATGATCTTTTTTCCCTTTATTTACCATTATCATTGCTAGTATGATCATCATCATCATTATGATCATTATTATTGCTGATACAGTTTATCAGGGCTTCATACACACTTGGCTTTCTTGCTCAGTGGACACTCTACCACTTGAGCCATGCCTCCAACCTTACTTTTTTGCTGATTATTGTAGCAGTGGGCTTTTCTGCTACAGCTGGCTTCGTACCATGATTCTCTCCAGATCTCAGCCTCCTGAGAGCTAGGATTGCAGGCAGGAGCCATCAACACTTGGTCAGAATGATCTTTTTACTCCTCACTCTCACCCTGAGCTCGTCTGTTCCCTCTGGGGAAGCCAGCATGGTCAGCATAACTTTTGATCAGGATGTCTTGTGGGTGGCACAGCCTGCCTTTGTCCTGAAGCAAGAGTAAAACATTTCAGAGAGAGATAGTCTATCTACATATCCTCAAAGGCCAAACTGGGCAGCTGGCTAATTAGCTCCATTATCAAACCTACATCAAGCCACCAGAAAATGCAAATTTGTTCTCCACAGAGCACCGCCTACTGGTCTAACAACAGAAGTAAATGAGAAACTTGGGGGAAAAGATCAGATAGAAAAAGAAAGAAAGAAAAGAGTTTGGCTGTCCTTACATCCATTTCCTGAGCTTCTCTTTAACCATTTTCTTGATTATTCTGAGTAAAGACTGCTCATCCTTTGCCCAACAGAGTATTGTTGTTAATGCCCTCCTTCCTACTTGACCTTCTTTTATCTCTCTTCCAAGTGGAAATATTCTCTGAGCTTTCTGAGGATTGCATGTACAGCAGCCCCAGGATAAATCCAGTCTGTCACAAACAATCATAGTTCATCTCATGGCTGCCCAGGCCAGGGATGGATCTCAAGTCTCCTCTGCCTTTCGTTCTGCTGTTCTTGGGAAAATAGAATGATGAGTAGATCAGGCCAGCCCTTTAGAGATACCTGCAGCGATGGCTACATGCTCTGGATATCCTTAATCTTTACTGACAGGTAAAGATTAGGGTTTGGCATATGAAAATAGCCACTGGGCTCGACTGACAGCATTGCCAGTATCCAAGTAGAAGAGTCACAAGGTCTCCAGCATCCTAAGTATCTGTCTCAAGGCTCTTCTAGCTAGGGCTCCTCACTTGGCTGCTGGCATTAACTGGTACCATCTCTTGGGATGCAGTTTCTCAGAGCTGGCCAGTCTCCTAGATTTACAGGTCCAATGGGAACACCAGGGCGTTCATCTCAGAGAGAAGAGGTGCTTACAGCAATGGGTGGTGATGATTTTGCTTGGTTCTTCTCCCCTTGCTGGGCAGCACATTCTAGTTTCCAGGTAGGATATATGATGGGGACGAGATCTGTCCTTGAGGGTGAAAGGCACTGCTTATGACAGAGCTGGTGAAACTGCAGCACGAGGCCAGTTCTGCCTTGCTTCTGAGATTCCCAGGCTATCTGCTACAGGGTGTTGTGACTCAGGGCCCCAGGCTTCCAAAGCAACAGAACCCCAGAGGTCCTCTCACTCTCTGAAGACCAAACCCCAATGTGTGGCAGATGCCAGATACAGAGTACCCTCCCGTCCATCTTTACAGAACATTATACGCTAGAGATAAGAGAGTGGCCCAGCCGCTAAGGAGTCAGGAATCTTCAGCTGTCCAGCCCCCTGGAGGATTTGGGTTAAAGCCACATGCCTAGACTCTACTGGAGTCAGTAGCCATTTTACTTAACAATGATAAAGCAGGGGAGGGAATCTAGAGCCTAGTGCCTAAGGCTCGTGTGCTTATTCTCTTCTTGATCGCATCCAGTGACCCAGGAAGCCAATGGCAGTGTCCAGGACTATGAAATGTTAGTGACGATCTTCCTAGATCTGCCTAGGCCTCTCTGTGCCAGTGTCCCTGGAGAAGGAACTCTTGGTCCCCCTTGTTCAACAGCTCCTAAACTTGGAGTTGTTGACACTTCCATTTTTGAAGTGGAATTGTTTCCCTTTAAAAAAAAAATTAGCATCAAAGAAAGAGAGGCATCTTCAGGAAAAGGATGGGGGGGCGGGGGTCAGTTTCTCTTGCTCAGTTTCCTACATTGGGAGTATTAGAACTTCCAGGTACACGTACATGCACCATGGAATGGGAGGTAGAGAAACTGGAAGGAAAGGATGAAAGGAAGGTTCCCCCCAAGACCTCATGAGCCAGGGCCATTGCTGCTAGAACTTCTGCTGGCCAGGGCTGCCGTTTCCATTTACATGTCCCAAACAAAACAGCTTTGGTAGACCTAGCCTGCCTTCACCGCCCCCCCCCCCCCAACCCACCTACCTAGTTCAGGCCAATTGACATACCTAAGTGCCCCCACGCACGCCATTTTGGGTACACCCAGGTTTCCATGGTGTTCCCAGGGCCTCCGTAGGAGGAGATCTATTAAGTGAGATTAGATGTTAACTTAAAAGGGGGGTGGGGTGAGGGAGACTGGTCACAGACGAGCTTAGTCTCCCAGCCCCCACGTTGCCGTGGCCCTTTGCCCCACTCTGATTCTGACGCTGTGCCTTTCCTCCTGACAGACTCTGGACGGGCACATGGTGGTGCGCAGCCACGCCCGCGTGTCATCCCTGACCCTAAAGAGCATCCAGTACACGGACGCCGGCGAGTACATCTGCACGGCCAGCAATACCATCGGCCAGGACTCGCAGTCCATGTACCTCGAAGTGCAATGTAAGGAAGAACAGGACAGACTCCAGGGAGTGTGGGAGGAGTAGGGCAGGATCAGGACACAGCTTAGACCTCAACTGCACCCCCCTCCCACACACACACACACACACCTCCCAGGAGCTCTGCCATGTTCCTATAGCAGGTGGCCCTAAGAGGTCTCACGGCCATAGTCCCAAGGCACCACCACAGGTTCCACCCTGGGCCTTCTTACAGGCCTTACATCCTGAGCCTTCCTGTGCAGCACATGCGCACAGGAATGCTGAAACATACCTGTCTCCACTTCCTTTTTTTTTTAGTTGGTCATGGAACTTGAACTCTGGGCGGTGTCCCTGAGCTCTTCAGCTCAAGGCTAGCGCTCTACCACTTGAGCCACAGCCCCACTTCTGGCTTTTTCTGTGACTATGGTATTGAGGAATCAAACCCAGGGCTTCATGCATACTAGGCAAGCACGCTACCACTCGGGCACATTCCCAGCCCTCCAGTTCCATTTTGAGACACATCTGCTTCCCCAGAGCCAAGAGACAGGATGTGGAGGGCTCCAATAGTGGTGATCATTCTGATAGCTGTTGTTTCTAACTCATTGCAGATGCCCCCAAGCTACAGGGTCCTGTGGCAGTGTACACATGGGAGGGGAACCAGGTGAACATCACCTGCGAGGTCTTTGCTTACCCCAGTGCTACGATCTCCTGGTTCCGAGATGGTCAGTTACTGCCGAGCTCCAACTATAGCAATATCAAGATCTACAACACCCCCTCAGCCAGCTATCTGGAGGTATGTCAAGGTTGGGGGGTACAGAGGGGTGGAAAAGGCTTTATATATGTGTATACAAGGTCCTGGGGCTTGAACTCAGGGACTAGGTGCTATCCTTTAGCTTTTTTGCTCAAGGCTGGAACTCTTCCGCTTGTGCCATAGTTCTATGTCCAAGGTTTTTGTGGGGGGTTTTTGGTGGTTAATTGGCAATAAGACTCTTATAGACTTACCTGCCTGGGCTGGCTTTGAACCACAGTCCTCAGTCTCAGCCTCCTGAGTAGCTAGGATTACAGGCGTGAGCCACAGATGCCTAGCTGGATAAGCTTTTGAGTGCCACTCACATCTTCTCTCTCGCTTCCTTGGCACATTCTAAACCGGGGAACCCATTAGTTGGAGAAGAAACTGCTTTTCTCTGCTGTACTACTGGTCCTGTCTGTGGGACTGGAATGAATGATTTGTGCTTTATCCATAACCAAAAGACTTGCCTCCTTCTTTCTAAAGGTGACCCCAGACTCTGAAAATGATTTTGGAAACTACAACTGTACTGCAGTGAACCGCATTGGACAGGAATCCTTAGAATTCATCCTTGTTCAAGCAGGTGAGTGCCACTCGCCCCTCCCTTGCTGCTCATCAAAGACACTTCACAGGTACCAGGATTGCAGGAAGAAGAGAGCACCAGGATCCACCAAGCCAGATGGTCAGGAAACGCAGGGAGTCTTGGAGGTGTGAGGATCTAAGCATGAGATGAATCAGGGAGAGGATCAGGTGGGGAAATGGGCCAGGAGGACAGAAGACAGATAACAGGAATCCCAAGAATGCACAGAAATGAGAGAAATATGTTTTGTGATTCAATGTACTGCTTAGCTGGGTGCTAATGGCTAATGCCTATCATCCTGACTGCTAAGAAGGCTGAGATCTGAGGATCACAGTTCGAAGCCAGCCTGGGGAAGGAAAGTCTGAGATGATTGCTTATCTCCAATAAACTACCAAAAGAGCCAGAAGTGGAGCTGTGGCTCAACTGGTAGAGTGCTAGCCTTGAGCCAAAGAAGCTCAGGGACATCACCCAGGTCCTGAGTTCAAGCAGTAGGACCAGCACCAAATAAAAATAAGAAGAAGAAGTGCTGTTCATCTGGGTTTCTTTGTATTTTCCACACAGACACCCCATCTTCACCCTCCATCGATGGAGTGGAACCATACTCCAGTACAGCACAGGTGCAGTTTGATGAGCCAGAGGCCACGGGTGGAGTCCCCATCCTCAAATACAAGGCTGAGTGGAGAGCGCTGGGTGAAGAAGTGTGGCACTTCAAGTGGTACGATGCCAAGGAAGGTGAGTGGGGAAGGGAGAGGGTCCCCTGGAGGACTGATCACCTTGGTCCTTGGTATTGAGGGAGTACACTCACGCTCAGCATTCAGCATCTCAGCTTCCTGTTGGAGTCTGGTGACATGGCTCTGCAACTTGAGAGATGTCACCATCTGCCACCCCCATCTGAGTCGCTAAAGAATTAAGACCACAGTCAGATCTTGATGGAGAGCTATTGTCCTTCTTCTGCTGGTATTGACATCCTATTCTCCACCGTGTGCTAAGCAGAAGCCCCGCGTAGATGCTGAACACAGCCAGATGAGTACAGGTTACTCTTGCTGTGGCCCTATCTGTTACCTGTAATGCCTCGCCAGTCCTGCCTGGGTATCTGTACCCAGGAGCTGCCATGTAATTATGACAGGAACCAAATAAACAAGTGGTGATGAGGGAAAATCTTCTCTAAAGGCAATCCTGAGATATCTTTCAAGTTAAAGATTCTGAAAAGGTCTTCTAGATTTTACTGCAATTGGAAGATCTGAACCCAGAGCAGCAGACAACAGATAGATCTATATCTGACTCCTTCTTTGGGATTTCACTGTGGTAACTCAATGTTGTGTTCTTATAGTGTAGCCCTTGTCTGGTATGGGGGAACTAGGGTGGACTCAGGAACTGGCAGGAATACGGGTCTCTCAGCCATCCAGAGCCAGGTCTCAAGCAATCTTCCTGAGACTTTGTCTGCAGTGAAACCTCCATGGATCATTCCACTCCTGGACAGCTGGAGGGAGGGAGGGACTAAGAAGAGCTGCTATGTAATCAGGACCAGAGACAGAGGAAAACCATCCTTTCTCATACTCAAGTTGTGACATTTTCCTGGCTTATGGTTTTCTTTTTATCCTAAAATTGCTTCTAGGGTTGTTATGCTTTTTTATTGTTGTAAAACATACATAAGCTTTACATCTTACCATTTTTAAGTTGTAGCATTAAAACTCATTAGCGTAAAACACAGCCATCGCTCCTATCTGTCCCCTAGAACTTTCCTGTCATCCCAAACCAAACCTCTTTGCCCTTGAAATAATAGCTCCCTATTTCCTCACCTACCTTCGGTCCCCAGTACCCACGGTTCCACTTCCTGCAGTTGATCATTTTAGGTGTCTTACGTAGATGGAATTGTACAATATTTGTCCATTTGGCTCTAGTTTATTTCATTTCACGTAATGCCCTCCGGGTTCATCCATGGTGTCATGGGTCAAGTGTTCATCCCCTTTTCAAGGCTGAATAGTATTCCACTGCTTCTCTTTAGTTTATTTCATGGATCCGTTTATTGACCAATGGTGGGACATTTAGATTTGCTTTCGCTTCTTGGCTATGGTGAATGCTGCTATTGGAAATGCGGACAGTTACTCTCTTGAGTCCCTGGTGGTGTGTGTGTGTGTGTGTGTGTGTGTGTGTGTGTGTGTGTGTGTGTGTGTGTGTGTGTGTGTGTGTGTGTGTGTGTGTGTGTGTGTGTGTGTGTGTGTGTGTGTGTGTGTGTGTGTGTGTGTACCTGGAGGTGGAATTGCTAGGCCAGATAATGGTACCGCTACACTATTTTCCACAGCAGCATTTCATCAGTACGCTTCCACCCTTTGTGATCCGTCCTATATTTTCACAACAGCCAACATGGAGGGTGTTGTCACCATCGTGGGCCTGAAGCCTGAGACATCCTACGCTGTGCGATTGGCAGCCCTCAACGGCAAGGGGCTGGGTGAGATCAGCACAGCCTCTGAGTTCAAGACACAGCCAGTCCGTAAGTAAAGCCAGCTGCCCTGCCTCTCCCTCTCACCTCTGCTCTTCTTGTGCGTAGCCAGGACCCTGAGCTGGCCCAGTTGTGGCTCAGAAGACAGCTTTTGGTCTTTCAGGTCCCTGTGCTCATGATTGCCCACTTAGCCCACTTGGCTCTCAGGGATGGCTAACACACAGTCCTCTTACCCTGTCTTTCTTAAAGGGGTTGGGGAGGCTAATAACATCCAGGGGGTGTTCCCTCTGACATTGTATTGAAGAGAGAGTGAATAAAGCCAGCAGGTGAGTTGGAGGGATTCGAGAGAATTACTACCTATATACCGAGCATCCTGTGCCTTGAAGGGAGAAGATAGAGACGATGACAATTCATCTAAGTCCTGGCGGGCATAACATAGGAAAACAGATTACTGTAAGATACGTGTGCAGGAACAGACTTCCCAGCATTTAAAAGGGAAGAGGACAGCCTTGGCCTTGGACATGTTTGGCTCCCTCTTCCACCACCCCCCTCCAAGCACCCCCCACCGGAGCATTCGGTTTACCTGCCTCATGGGCTATCTCTCTCTCCAGAGAGCTGCTTCTCCCTGGTGCTGCTCAGGGCTGCCTTTGTTTCCCCTTACCATCCTCTCTTTCTTTAACCCATGCCTGCCCAGCTTTTGCCCTTGCTTTTCGCAGCACTAGATAAGCCCTGCCCTGGCCATGTCCTTCTACCCACCAGAGTTTCTGTCCTGAGAGGCTCCTGAGTCTGTCTGGATGAAGACAAAGCTGTACCTGGACTCCTTGATTTCCACAGAGTTCCTGGGCTCTCCCTGGCCCCTGGATTTAACATGCATGAGAGAATCCTTTGCTTGCTGGCCTTCTGAGCCAGGGAGCTGCAAAGGAATCACCTTACCTCATCCCAGAAGTAGAATAGCCCATCTCGTCTTCCTTCTGCAGGGATTGATTGCCTCTTTCTGGATTAGACGTAATTTGATAATTTGCCTTTCCAGCTCCATGTGCTCTGCAGGTTCTGTTCATTTCTTTTACATCTTATTTTTTTCTCCCCCCCTCCCCTACCCCTTGGGTCTGTCTCTTGGCTTTTCTTTTCGTCTGTGTTCCAACCATGGAAAATGCAGATAGCCCTCCTTCACGTAAGTGCCTCTTCATACCTCATTACCTGTCTCCATAGCCTTAACATCTGCTAGTTCTAGTTCTTAATTTAGTTCTGGTCCCCTTTTTTTGTCCCCTAGAGGCTGACATAGATGGTGCTGTCTAGGCCCTAACCACACTGACCTTAGTCTAGTTGTGCCCTTGTTAACATCTGTAGGTTCCTCCGAGAGGCTAACACTTGTTGTTTTAGAGCATGCAACTTCCGTGTGTTTTGAAATTGTCTATTTATTAATTTTTGCGTGTGATGATTACCCTGTGGCAAAGATTATGTTTGCTGAGCCAAGCATGGTGGACTGTGCAGATGGTTCCTGAGTAACACGCTACAGCACTTCCTTACCTTTAGCCAAGATACCAGAGAGCTAGCTGTGGATTCCTGGTCTGCCTTCAAGCAGAAAAGAACCTGAAAGAAATTTCCACATTTTGCTTTTAGGATAGAAAAGTCTAGAACGCAGTTGCTTCCCTGTGTTTCTGTCTGTCGGTGGGTAGTTAGAGGGGAATAGCAAGACTGGCTGGGGAGGCCCCTTGTGGCAGCTGCCAGGGTAAAAAGTGCACCATGAAGCTTGTCCGGCAGGAAACTGTTCAGGGTTTAAACCTTCAGTTCCAGTCATCTCTGTTTGTTAGCAGTAGATAACTTGTAACATGTGTTTCTGTGTTTGGAACAAACTGATCTGCTAACTTTACAACTCTGCTGGTCTCACATAGAGAGGGAGAGAATTCCCATGGAAATGACACGCTACTTATGCAGGCTACACATGCAGGACACAGGAAACAAGGCGTACACAGAATGGACCTGTTGCTGTAGGAAGTAGAACTGTTATCTGATGCCTCAGTCTACACACAGACTCCCCAAACTTTCCTTCACAGAGACCTGGCTCCTCCTTCCTAAACTGAGCACAAAGTGGAGTGGAGCCAAGTGTCACCCAGATAGACCCAGAAAGAAAGGCATTCAGGAAAACTTCCCTGTTGAAATGTATTCTGAAATACTGCAACAACAGCAAAAACCAAGTTAACAAAGTGTGGGTGTTCTGAGATTTTTTTTTTTGAGCTAGATAAAATCTACCTCAGCCAAGTTGACGTCTGAAAGTACTAACTCAAGATGGTGGCAGAGTGGCAGGTGCAGGGCGGGAAGGAGAGCATGTAGCTATAGGACTGACAGCCTATTCTTGGCTGGCAGCTGTGCCCCCACAGGAGCCCAGGAGGAACAGCTCCTTCCTTCTAGATTCTTCTAGTAATCCCTAACAGAGTTTTCAAGTTCTTTCTCTTTGAGAGGTGATCCACAAGTAGATGCTGGCTTTGCTATATGAAAAAGAGGAAGGCTGGGCTGAGACCCACTGCTGGTTATCTCCCCAGTGCCTGGAGCTGGAGTCTGACACATCTTCAGGCTCTGCCAGACCAGGCCTTTATATAAAGTTGAGATGTTTTCTTCATATAGCAGAGGCTGCTTTTAAAGTCAGGACTTTAAAATGTTTGCTTTAATTGTTTGCTTTAGTTTTACTTAAAAAAAAAAGAAGCAAAAAAAACCCCACCACCTTTGAGCCTAGTGCTGGTGGCTAGTGTGATCCTGGTGTAGTAGATGTGATCCTAACTACTCAGGAGGCTGAGATCTGAGGATCACCATCCAAACCCAGCCCAGGCAAGAAAATCCATGAGACTCTCCAACTAACCACCAAAAAAGCTGGAAGTGCAGCTGTGGTTCAAGTGGTAGAGTGCTAGCCTTGAGCAAAAAATTCAGTCAGGGATAGCATCCAGGCACTGAGTTCAAGCCCCAGGACTGGCACAGTCATTTTTCAAAAAGAGAGAACAACCTTTGTCTAAGAGTATGAAGGTGCATCATGAGCTGAGATTCCTAGTAGCATCCACATAGATCATGAATGTGATCATGAATGTGGCACAATAAGTTGTTCTCAATCATGATAAAGTTGTATTTAAAGCCTTTCTACTCAGGAGGCTGAGATATGAGGACCATGATTCAAAGCCAGGGAAGAAAAGTCCATGACACCCTTCTGTCCAATTAACTATCAAAAAGCTAGAAGTGTGGATGTGGCTCAAGTGGTAGTGTGCCATCCTTGGGCAAAGAAGCCAAGCAAGAGCATGAGGTTCTGAGTTCATACCTCACTATCAGTACACACACACACACATACACACACACACACATACACACACACACACACACACACACACACACACACACACACACACACACACACACACACACACACGGTCTTGGAGTCGAATGTACCTTTGTCCCACAGTGTTGGCAGGGATGAGGCAGTAAAAATGTGGGAACATTACCTCATGTAGGAGAACTTGACTATGGTCTCTCCTAAGCTTTCCTGAGTTACTGCCTGGAGGGACTTGCTCAGGGCTGGTCTCCTGATGCCCAGACCTGTCCTTAGAAGGGCCACCCCTAGAAGGATGATGCCAGTGTGCCACACTGCTGTGACACAGGCAGCCTCTTCACAGTAGGTAGTGAGGAAAGCCCTTCTCGGTGTTTTCCTCCCATTCCTCAGAAGGCTCAGAGTGTAGTCAGGCGCCAGTGGTTCACACCTGTAATCCTAGCTACTCAGGAGGCTGAGATCTAAGGGTCGCAGTTCAAAGCCAGGCCAGGCAGGAAAGTCCGTGAAACCCTTATCTCCAAGTAACCACCAGAAAACCGGAAGTGGCACTGTGGCTCAAGTGGTAGAGCTGAAGAGCTGAGGGACAGCGCCCAGGCCCAGAGTTCAACCCCCATGATGGAAAAAAAAAAAGAAGGTTCAGAGTATGTCTGAGCTCAGGTGAACACATCACCCTTCTGTTGAGCTTTGTGTTTGAATCAAGCCTGGGAACCAATGGTGCTGAGCACCTTATCCTGTAGATCTGTGGGCTCACCCTGGAGTTTCCCCCTGAGTTGACCCTCGTCCCCCAGGGAAAGATGCAAACACATGGCCAGCAGGTGTTACATGCCAGACAGAGAGGTGTTGTCCGCAAGACCCTGAGTCGGGAAGTGTTATTGGGGTAGTCTTAATAAAGGGAGGTTTCTCTCTGGGTTACTTAATTGACTCCCCCTCTCCCCATATAATAACATAGGCTTATCAAAGCAGGTCAAACCAGCAGCAGTCACAAATAACTCAAGGACCCCCACTTGTACGCGTGCATGGCTTACCTGTTTGGAGGTTCCTTTGTGTGTTCTTCCTGTGTGTGCATGAACGGAATGAGGGAGCTGTGCTTCTAAAACCCAGATAAACTCTAACCTGGGGAAATGTTGCTGATTCACATTGTTTAAGCCAAATGCCTACATGCTGTCAAGACCCTCCAGTGCTAAGCTCATAGCTTCATTTTGCCTTGAGAGGGGCTCTTCCCTTGGAACTATTTACAACTTAACTACATAATTTTATCTATCCCCCTATTTGAACCATACACCTGTAGAATTTCAAAGCCTGAAAGTTACATCTTCATTTGCTTCTGTACAGCAAAATAGATCAGTTCTTTCCAGATACAGAGAGTACATAGTCTCTACTTTTAAAAAAAAAAAGAGGTACCCTGACATTTTTTGTTTCTAAATGGGGTCCACTATGTGGCATATGAAAGTATACTTTAGATGTATTATATGTGATTAAAACACAGAAACTTCTACCCTTTTTCTAGAACAGTATGAATGAATTATGCAAACAATCCAAGCCAACTTATGAGAGGGAGAGAGAGAGACAGAGAGAGAGGGAGAAAGAGGACTTTACCAGAATGAATCAGGCTGTCTGATCACGACAGTTTAGTATCCTGTTTACTCTGATTCCAGTGACATTGTACCCTGAGGGTTTAAGCAGATACCTACACCTTGGAAGTATGGAATCACCAAGCCATACTAAAGTGATGTTGGAAAGAGGT